TCTAATTTACGTATGGTGGTTTTAAAAGACTGGAGACTAGGTGATTGTTTGACCAGGTTGTTAAGCCTGTTCCATTGCGCAGATCCGAAATAACGTATTGAGTGTTTCCCATAGTTAATAGTATTGAATCGAGGTAGATTAAAGTCTTTCCTTCTCAGATTGTAGCTTGAACTATTTAAGCTAAAAATTTCGGCAACATTGGTGGGGGCAAGCTTATGCTTAACTTTATACATAAGGATAGCAATGTCTTGAAGTCTACGATTATACAGTGTAGGTAATCGTGATCTTTTGAGCAGTGTCTCATAGGTATCTGATTTCGTTCTATACACTGCTCTGAACGCGCGTTCTTAAGGCGTTCAATTTTCCTGCAGTCAGAAGCATTGGAAAAATGCCATATTAAGTAAGGTAGGCTGGGTAGGATAGAAGACTTATAGATGGTCAGCTTAGCTGGACAAGGAAAGAGATTATCTTTCCTCGATGAAGTTGCATCGTTGCCAATCGGTAATTGTTCTAAATGATCATGATTAGTTTGGTAAGTCCATAATCAAACACCTGAAACTCAATTGTTAGTTCTAAATTCCAACTTTCATGAAAAACGTACCGTTGCCACTGAAAGCTAAGAATTCGATACTTTATATGTTATTTAGCCTACATTTACAAGTCTTACATTTGATAGGCGACATAGAACACATAATAGTTAAATTTTAGGAGGAAGGATTCAGTTAAAAGCATGAAAATGATTATAAAAATAAATGGTTCAAAGTTATTCTTTTATTCACTTATTCTTGGTGTTCTTTTCACCTAGAAAATTCATTCTATACCAGCAGCTGTATGCAGAACATCTTGTTAAATTTTTAAGTCTACCGGCGGCGTTCAAGGCAACGTAAACTCCTGTCATCGTGCTCGTGTATCCATCCGTGAACATGTTCATCATTCGTAACAGCCTAACATATGCAATCGCTGTTACAGTAACTCGTTGCTTACAATGCTTGCTCAAAGCAAGGCACATAACACATCACAAAGAGGGACTCATTACTCATTACTCGAATTACTGACCCTGGTATAAAACCCCAGAAGCTCTTTAGGGATCTTTGAGGATTGTCAAAGACCTATCGAAGATCCTTAAAGACAAGGATCTTCAGAGGATCTTAAAAGGATCTTGAAATATCTTCAAAGATCATTATATGCAAAATAATTTGACAAGATCCTCAAGGATTTAATGAAGATCTTCCAAGGATCCTATAAAGATCCTTGTAGAGTTCCTCGTTAAGTCCTTTGTACGGATCCTTCAAGATCCTCAAGGACAATGGAAGGATCTTTAAAGATCTTAAAAGTATCCTTTCAAGGATCTTAATAAGACCTTTCCTAGGATCCTCGAGGACTTGATAAGGCACTTACAAGAATCTTTATCAAGATCTTTGCACTGAAGATCTTTCCTAGGATCCTAAAAAATCTGACGTCCTATTCCAGCCCGTGTAAGTGTACCAAAATATTGACAAGAAATAACAGCATAAGAGAAATATTGCAGCATATTGTAAATATGAAATTAATATAATGATAGAAACTAAGTGGCTGGCAAGAATCTGGAGGTTCCAACCGTTTTTTAGCATTCAGGTTATTTAGGGAAAAGTTGCTAGGCGAAAAGCACCCGGTGGAAACATTTCACTTACCGGCAAAGTTTTGGGATTTTTTTAATGATTACTTCTGTGGAGTAGCACTAAAAAAATTAAGTGCAGATAAAAATATAGGCCGAAAGGGGGTTTTATTATCTAATAAAACACACTGCCTGAAAACTTCTTAAATCACAACACACTGTGTATTTGGTGTCGGCATACAGAAGCCTCTACATCAGATCAACGTTCCAGCCGTTTTTAGCATTCAGGTTCTTTAAGGAAAAGTTGCTAAGCAAAAAGCACCTAGTGGAAACATTTCACTTCCCGGCAAAGTTTTGGTTTTAATTTTTTTTTTTATGATTATTAATATTACTTCCATGACATGGCACTAAAACAGTTGAGTGAAGATGAAGATATGGGCTAAAAGGAAGTTTCATTACCTAATAAAGTACATTGCCCGAAAATTTCTTAGGTCATAACCCACTATGTATTGGGTGTCGGCGTACATAAGCCTCCATATCAAATCAGGGGTCAGCCGTGTTTTCAGTCAAGTGGCGCCTATTTGACACTTCACGAGCGCTTGTTAAAAGAAGACAAAACTTTTAAGGTGCATTTCATCCCCAAGAGATATTTGCCAGACAAAATCCTCAAAGATCTTGACACGAGAATGAAAGATCCTCAAAGATCTTGCAGAAAACGAAATATCCTTAAGGATCTTGGTAAGAAAATCATGTGAAAGATCCGTAAAGATCTTGGGAAGAAAATGAAATGGATTTTACTTGTCCTGCAGATTGATAATCAAGTAAAGGAACTGACATTCTCCAAGGATTTTGTTCAAACAATTTATTTCTGTGGTACAGTTGTAATTCAGCTTTTCTTCAATCGTGCAGTACAATTTTCTTCTGGATTTATTAAACATTAAAGTTGAAATGTTCAGCAGGCAACCGTGGACGATACTCCTACTCTTGTACGTTGGATCAGCGATGATCTAATCGGCCCAAAATAACGAATATGAAATATAAATAGAGAAGCAAGACCGATACAACGTAGATAAGTAAATTTTAAGACGGAGCACTATATTTCGGCTGGCCAAACCAGCCCTCTTCAGGTGCAGTGGGAATTAACAGAGAATTGGGGTGATGCTTCATATATAGCTGTATGATGCAACAGCGGAAATATGTAAAACTAATTTGATTGACAATGAGATAACAATAAAAATAGAAATAGTGAGCAAAAATAGAAATGAAGTAAGGTAAATTGGATAAATAACTAGAAACTAATACATTTCTTCGCGAGCGTTAAGGCCATCTGGATAAATAGTGTTGCCTCTTGAAATTAAAAAAGCTTCCCTGGCCTTGCGTATCGAGTCTCTCTTGGAAAACACTTTTTCGATGGCGATTAGCTCCATGTCGTGAGCAGAGTGGTTAGGAGAGGAAATGAAGTGTTCTGCCGCTGTAGTAGGTTTAGATTTAGAGTTAGGTTTATNCTGTGACACTAAAAACCTTATCTACTTAATTCAGTGTAACCGCTGTAACTTACAATACATAGGAGAAACTAAACGACGTTTAAAAGACCGTTTTAATGAACACCGCCGTACCATTGATAAACCTAACTCTAAATCTAAACCTACTACAGCGGCAGAACACTTCATTTCCTCTCCTAACCACTCTGCTCACGACATGGAGCTAATCGCCATCGAAAAAGTGTTTTCCAAGAGAGACTCGATACGCAAGGCCAGGGAAGCTTTTTTAATTTCAAGAGGCAACACTATTTATCCAGATGGCCTTAACGCTCGCGAAGAAATGTATTAGTTTCTAGTTATTTATCCAATTTACCTTACTTCATTTCTATTTTTGCTCACTATTTCTATTTTTATTGTTATCTCATTGTCAATCAAATTAGTTTTACATATTTCCGCTGTTACATCATACAGCTATCTATGAAGCATCACCCCAATTCTCTGTTAATTCCCACTGCACCTGAAGAAGGCTGGTTTGGCCAGCCGAAATATAGTGCTCCGTCTTAAAATTTACTTATCTACGTTGTATCGGTCTTGCCTCTATATTTATATTAAAGTTGAGTCGCAAAACTTCGAAATTCCTCCACAGTCGAGGAATGTTTGACAATCAAGCACCTCTCATAGGACTGACTTATTTCAAACAACTAACTTTATCAGGTGGTTTACCATGGGGTTTATTCCTAGAAACCGTATGTTAGAAAGAGCCCTGTCAAACATTTTCCTTTATTGCAGAATCACAGTGTTAAAGTCTTAAAGTACACTTAACATCTAAAAAAGAACCGTATATGTGCACGATCCTCGCAGTAAAGCACTATTTAAGCAATAGTGAGAGTCAGACCTGAGAAAATCTAGGCCTGTACGAGATTCGAACCACTGACCTCTGCGACACTAGTGCAGCGCTCTACCAATTGAGCTAACAAGCCATTAAATTAATTCGACATAAATCCGTAAGATGATAAATCAAACACAACGAATATATGAAATACATATATCTGAACTGCAGTAAAGGCCTGATTTTTTTCAGGTCTGATTCTCATTATTGCTTACTCCACGCCCCATTTTGTAAATAGTGCTTTACTGCGAGGATCGTGCACATATACGTTTCATAACCGCAGTTCAGATATATGTATTTCATATATTCGTTGTGTTTAAAAAAGAAGCGCCGGTCAGTGCAAAGACAATTGTGTTTACTAAGCGTAAAACTATCAACGGCAAAAGAGCAGAAAATACCTTGAAGATGCAAATGAATCTTCCCACAAACATACGAGAATCTTTTCACGCTGTAACAGGAAATTGAAGACGGAAACAAATCAACCAAACATCAACATGTCAATCAAGAACAAACCTGACAAACAGACTAACATGATGAGCAAACAAACACGACTATCAAACTAACATCCAATCAATTGAAATGTTCTCCTTATTATCCAGTGGGTAAAAATATCACAGTGGGTCTGGTATTTCAACGTATTTTCTGAGCTAAATACTAGCACAATATGCTTTTAAATAGCATTACAGAGGAGAAATCGAGATGTTTGTCTGCTCAGGTTGAACTTTGATATTACGTCAGAGAATGTAAATCACACAATGGAGTTCCGTAGATAACGCCATTAGTAAAAGATAAGACAAAGCATCTGTTTGTTAAAGCAGAAAGCGTTTTAAAAATAAAAACAAGATTGTTAAATACAGATTTCCTGCTGGGATAACGTGTGTCTGCGTTGCTAAAACTGGCATCGTATTCATCTTACAGCTCGCTGCATATTTACTTTGATTAATATGGTTCGCGTTACGTACAGAACAACTTCGAAAACTGAAAACGGAATTACACTGAATATGATAATACTTGTCTTTCTTGTTCTCCTACACAGAATCTAAGCTTGCTTCTGAAGCCGGAAAAGAAGAACTGTTACCTTCTGCCCCTGGAAAACGGCTTGTCCCCGCCAGCAAAACTTGCAAGTGATATGGACAAGGCCGAAGTAGGAACTTCTTCTTCTTAGCAACTTTCCTCAGTAAACTTTATCTTTCTCCTCTCTGCCACTCACCACGTTACACAACAGCCTTTCTCGATACATAAGCATGCACCACGTAGAACTGCCTCCCGGTTAGCTCAATGGATAGAACGCTGGACTGTTGTGCGGGAGGTCGAGGGTTCGAGCCCCGGCCGGACCAACACTCAAGGTCTTAAAATAATTGAGAAGACTTTGTTACCTTTCTATAACATCAAGAAATGGTTAGATATTCTAGTCTTCTCGGATAGGGACGAATAAATGGAGGTCCCGTCTCCTACAGGGTTGGGGTAGGAGACGTTAATTTCCCACACACGAGATTACTGTGTGATGGATGTCCTCCCCTGGGGTGGGATGAGTGGGATATTGGGCGCACTTAATTTGGAGCCTCGCTCTGTTGTGCGACCCTCACCATACTCTGGTGAAAGTGATTAAATAAAATAAGTCAAAACTGATTGAACATTCGCACGAAGAACGCCTTCTAGTTTCCGGGATTTTCAGTTGCAAAGAAAGTCTTTAGATCCCTTCAATATCATTCAAAC